ACTTTTGTAACAAGTGAGAATGTGCAGAGAAGTTTATTTATCTGAATGATATCTTAAGCATATAAAAGAAAAATCATTTACAAGTCTCTCTCTCTCTCTCTCTCTCTTTTTTTTTTTTTTTTTCTTTACTTAGTATAAACAGTGACATGTCTTGCCTTCCAAGGAGGACGTTATCCTAATTTTTGTATTTTTCTAGATATATTTAAAATCTAAGATAGAATGTGTATGGTGTTTTTGTAATATTTTTCCTTGGTTGTCTTTTAAAATTGTCCTAAAAACTTAAGTTTTCTTAACTGCTTTGTCGGAAATTTCACATAAAACAAAATTTTAAGGGCAGATTTACTTTTAACTGAAAAATTCAGGTTAAAAGACATATGGAACAAACTCTCTAATCTTTTTTAGTCAATCAAATCCATCTGATGAACAAAGCAATAATAAATATAAATATGCCACACTGACCTTGTATAGCTTTGCACTTAATTTTTGAAACATAACACTGACGTTTTTGATCCATCCTAGGACCTTCTTCTCTGGTGTTCTATATAAAAAATTTTATAGAACACCTGAGAAGAAGGTCCTAGGGTGAATCAAAAACATTAGTGTTACGTTTCAAAAATTAAGTGCAAATCTATACAAGGTTAGTGCGACGTATTTGATTTTTTAGTCAATTTAGCAATAAACAATAACTTTCTTATTGAGAGTAAAAAGTAGTGATTTGGAAAATTTTTGAAAAATTGGAAAGTGGGTGATAAGACAATTAAGTCATCATTCTAATGCTGTAAGACTGGATCCATTTTTCATCCAGATCTGGATGAGAAATTTCCAGAAATTTTCATGGGTGTTCTGTTTAGGATATGTCAAGTTCTAAAATCTTTTATAATCATGCCTCTGGAACCATATTATTTGATCAGAGAAGAAAAAAATTTAATCTGTCTGGGTAGATCCATCAAAGTGTGGCATAAAAAGGGAGAGTGATTAAACCCCAACTGTGTAAAGCCAACTGTTAAACGTGGTGGGGGATCAGTGATAATTTTGGGATGTTTCAGTGCGAAAGGAGTTGGTAAATTAGTATTTATTGATGGAAGAATGAAGTAAGAAGACTACTTAAACATCTTCAATGAATATTTGGAGGAATCAGTTTGCAAAATGGAATTTTAAAATAAGATTTCCTTCCAACAAGATAATGACTCCAAGTAAAGTTAGATTGGTGTCCCAATCACAGATGCCAATTTAATTGAAAATTTATGAAGTGACATGGAGAACAAGATAGCAAAGAGGTGGCTAAAAACCAACATAGAGATGAAGGAACTCACAAAATGATTAGGAAACAATCAACTCAAATCTTTGTGAAAAGCTGATGGCATCAAAATGATGTCTGGCCATAATTGAAAGTAAAAAGATCCCACAAAATATTATTAAATTTAATAATTCATTAAATTATGAGAAATATTCAGTGTGTAACCAAATTCATATAATCCATGATATAATACAATGTCATTTCACGCCAACATTTATTATATGATTATAACACTTACATATAATCATATAATTCATATAATCAATTTTTTTAACATTTTGTTGTTATTTTACATTTCATGTTTTCTTACATTTGGTTTTAATTGAAGTTATAATTTTTGTTGAAGAAATAAAGAATAAAAAAATGCTTCATCTCTGTTTTGGCTATATTTTTTTGTGTTACATGATCACAGTTTTAAAATGATCTGGGGAAATAAAATTTTCTGCCAAATTAACAATTTTTTTGCTTACTGTGTATATAAACAAGCTTAAAAAAATGAATTTATTTGCACATATATTTTATTGGCACAAAAGAGTTATGTTAACAGTATCATATTGATGATGATAAACAAAATTATGTTAATGCAAGTGAAAACAATTTTGTTTTTATTAATATTCAAGTAGAGTTTTTAGTTTGTATCATGTTATCTTTTTAATATAGAAGATGTTCAATTAATACATTAACCAAGAAAGATAATAGACAACTTAGCTAAGAGAATAATAATTTTTACTTTTTTGCTATAACTAAAATATTGTCATATTAGAGGTGTGGTGTTTTGACTTTGTTTAATCAAATCAGCTAGTTAAAATTCTTATATACAATAAAACCTGCTGAAAACAGAAATGTAATAAAATGGAAACCGCCTAAATAGGAAAAATATTCTGGTTTACACAGGTTTACTGTAATATAATTTTTGTATTTGTAAACCCCTAAACATTATAAAATAAATATTATGCAATGAAATTAAGCATTCTTAATATTGTTTCTATAAGTTAAAGATAAATTAATTTATAAGTTAATAATAATAATAATAATACAATATCAGACATGAAAAAACAACACAGTTTACACTGTCACATCTCATGTACATGGACGACATAAAACTTTATGCATCTACACAGAAACAACTTCATCAACTCCTACAAATCACACATTCATACACCAAGGACATACAAATGGAGTTTGGCTTAGACAAATGCAAAAAACTTCACATAGAAAAAGGAATCCTGAAGAAAGAAGATTTTGCACTTGGAAATGGAGACGTTATTGAATCCATGGAAGAGGGCGAGTTCTACAAGTACTTAGGATTCCAACAGGCCAAACTAACAGAACATACACAAATAAAGCAACGATTAATTAAAGAATACCAAAGTAGGTTAAACGCTATACTTAGAACACAGTTAAATGCAAAACACACAGTTAAAGCAATAAACACATATGTCATCCCAGTACTCACATACTCTTTTGGAGTTATACATTGGACTCACACAGATCTCGAGCAACTCCAAAGGAAAACAAGAACAACACTTACTAAGCATAAACAACATCATCCTAAATCCGCCACAGAAAGATTAACCCTTCCACGTAAAGAAGGCGGACGTGGCCTGATTGACATAGTTAACCTTCACTACAAACAAATACAGTCACTGCGAGAGTTTTTCTACAAGAAACAAGAAACATCACAGTTACATAAAGCAGTAACTCTAGCAGACTCAAATAACACACCATTAAACTTACACTCACATCATACAGACATGACACAACACATAAAAAGCATAGACACCATCAAGCAATCGTGGGCTCGAAAGGCACTCCATGGCAGGCATCCTTATGACCTGGCCCAGGATTTTGTTGACAAAACTGCGTCAAACAGCTGGTTAGATCGGGGATGCCTCTTTGGGGAGACGGAAGGATTCATGATTGCCATACAGGATCAGGTCATAAATACTAAAAACTACAGAAAACACATACTCAAAGATACAACACTCACAAATGACACATGCAGAAAATGTCACATCATGCCAGAAACTATACAACACATCACTTCTGGTTGCAAGCTCTTGGCACAGACAGATTACTTACATAGACACAATCAAGTAGCAAATATAATACACCAAGAGCTTGCAAAGAAACACAAATTGGCAGACATCCACGAACCATACTACAAGTATATTCCACAGACAGTATTGGAAAACAACACGCACAAAATGTACTACGACAGAGCCATAATCACAGATAAAACAATTTACCACAACAGACCAGACATCACACTCATTGACAAACACAATAAAATCACATACATTATAGACATAGCCATTCCAAACACTCACAATGTACAAAACACATGCACTGAAAAAATTAGCAAGTACACAGAACTCGCCCAGGAAATAAGGCATCTGTGGAGGATGGATAGGGTGCTTATTGTACCTGTTGTTCTCTCCTGTACAGGTGTGATACCACACACACTACACAAAAGCCTGGGAACATTAGAATTGAGTAGAAATACATACATAACACTACAGAAGGCCACTATATTGAATACATGCCACATTGTTAGGAAATTCCTGAATACAGACACACACACTGACACACTGATTTAATTTTAGTTTTGTTTTGGTTGCTATGCCTTGACTCTGGTCCGGCATAGTACACAGCCACTGGTGTGAACGAAGTATAACTCACTAAACCCAACATAATAATAATAATATATTAAAATTTTTAGATTTATATTTTTTAAATTCATAGTTTTAGTAAGAATTAAAATTATAATAATAAATCTTAATAATTATTAAGGTTTTTGCAATAAAGTTTTTGCAATTTTGCACATATTACATGCAAGTTTAACTTTGTAGATTTTGCTGTATATTATGTATCAGTACTGTATGCTTCTGATTTGTTTAAGTACATTACACACAAACAAGGTGCCAAAACAAAATGAGTCAGTTTTCTTGAACATAATGCTCTTGATTATTGTTAGCATACTGTATATTAGATATGAAATGAGATAAATACAATGTTTATTATTATAATTTTAATTCTTACTAAAACTATGAATTTAAAAAATATAAATTTAAAAATTTTAATATTATTATTATTATTATTATTATAACTTATAAATTAATTTATCTTTAACTTATAGAAACAATATTAAGAATGCTTAATTTCATTACATAATATTTATTTTATAATGTTTAGAGTTTTACAAATACAAAAATTATATTACAGTAAACCTGTATAAACCAGGTGAAAATGTGAGATTATAATCTGACATTTTCAATAATCTAGCATTACTCTGGTTAACAAACCATATTGTAACTATATTTAAAACTTAAATTTTATAAATATAAAACTTTACAGGAAGTTTTAAACATAACTAAATTTTATGAAAATTGCCAAACTAGAATAATTTATGTTTACTAAATATGATTTACATGTAATCAGTTGATTATTTTTATTATTAATATAAACAAATATTAGAACTTTTAAGTAAAATTAACAAATTTTTGGTATCAATTACATTAAAATATATGTAAATATTTTACATAACTGTCATTGAGATTCCCTTTTATTTTAAATTTTCTATGCTATATCAGAGTTCACATGCTAAAAGCAAATGGTTTGCATATTTTAATTGACAGTTTATAACTATTACTTTTTGTTAAGAGTTCTCTTTTTTTGATTATAATTAAAATATACTTTTTAGGTTATGTCCAAGGTATGAGTGATTTATTATCACCAATTTTGTATATAATGAAAAATGAAGCTGATTCGTTTTGGTGCTTTGCTGGTTTACTTGACAGGATGGTAGCTATATTTGTTATACAATAAGAAATTAAATTTTTTTATTTTATTTTCAATATTAATAAAATTATCTTTGTAACAGGGGGTTAATTTTGAAATGGATCAGCAAGGTATGAAAATGCAGTTACAACATCTTTACACTCTTCTTCATTTTGCTGATCCTCAGCTAGCTGAATATTTAGGTAAATATTTTAAATAATTTTGTAATGTTATCTAATATAAATTTATTTGTATGAAAAGATATGCTAACAATGACTTACAAACTATCTAATATAACTCTTGTTTTTTAATCCTAGTATTTCAGGATTTTGTTTAGATTGTTTCAATTTGTTTAGGATTCATTATTACAGTAGAGCGTTGATTTTCCGAATCAATTGGGGACTGGGGTTGTTCGTATAACTGATATTTCGGATAACCGATTTATGTACGAAAAAATAGTTTAATGTATCCGATGTTGAAATTTTTCTCTGTTGCGTGTCGCTTCGCATTGAATTTTCGTCGATGTTAAGCCTAACAAAGACTATTGTATCGTTAAAAATTATTTTTTTATTTTGTACAAACAAAATAAATATATTGAAAAATATAAAAACAATAAAAAATTATACTTCAGATGTTAATTTAGTATCAAAAACGTAAAATATTTGAGTAGCCCAAGACATAGCCAAAGATTGAAGCTCCACAGCACTGGCGAAAATTTAAATTTGCCGACTGGAAATCTTTCGGATGATTGACTTTCGGAAAATTGACGCTCTACTGTATTTAGATTTTGTTGATATATTTTTATACTTAGTGTAAAATTTAACAATTTTCATTTTGTATTTGTTTAACTGTATTCATTCTTGGAAAATGGAATTCTAGATGCAAATCTCTTACAAGTATACATGTACAAAATTGACAGATAAAAGTAACACAAAAACAGAAATGATGCTTTGTTTCTTATACGTGGTATGTGGAATTGTGTTGAAAACTGCTTTTGTCAGACTATCAATTTTCTGAGACAGTTAAATGTACTTTATCTAAAAACTTAAGTTCATTATCCAACATTGATATTTTAAATTTGGTTAACTTTGTCAATTGCATCTCTTAAATTTTATTCATGTATATTTGCAAATATTATATACATTACAACAATACAGTATGACCTACCATATGTAGACTTGCCACATATGGTTTCAAGTTTAAGCTATTGGAAATAAAAAAAAATAAACTGATATATATGTAGAGTAAAAATTCTCAATTGTGCACTAAATCTGCACTATTTTTTTAAGGTGCATGAAGTCTTACATCATCTTGCTCAGTCACATACATTCTCATTCTGGGAAAGCATTACTATGACTCATTTCTTTGCTTTTCCTCTAAACACTGGAACTCACATTAGTCATTGTCTGGTGTTCTGATTTGTTACACATCGTGTTCATATGATATCAGTTCTTCTCTTAGTTTCATTTATGCTAATTACTTTGCAAACATGACTCCAAAACACAGATGCTGGTAGCTCTGATAAAGCAAAGCAAAACTGTAAAGTACCTACTTTAAAGAAAAAATTAAAATATTAGATTAGTGAAAAAAGTCGTCTTAAAATTTTTAAAGTTTTATGATTATAGTATCATGCTGTATATATTATTTGTATGATATTTGCTTGTCTTATCTATATTTAAAAATTACATCATAGGTATGTTAGTACAGGAAAGTAATCAAAATATTCTTAAAGTACTTTAAGAAAATAACTTTTAATGTTTATCAATTTTTCTTTTTCAGAATCACATGAATCTGGAAATCTGTATTTTTGTTTCCGTTGGCTGCTCATATTATTTAAAAGAGAATTCAGATTCCATGATATTATGCATCTGTGGGAGGTTATTAAACATTTAATTATTTTCAATGTAACAAGTTTACTTGATATTTAAATTGCTTTTTGTAATTTGTTTTAGGTCCTTTGGACAGATTTGCCTTGTAAGAATTTTCATTTATTAATCTGTATGGCCATATTGGATAAAGAAAAGGATACTTTGATGGAAAATGAATTTGGTTTGACAGAAATATTAAAAGTGAGAAAGATCGTTATATTTTTAGAAATTCATAAGGAGTCATTAAAAATAACTCTCAAATTTCAAACTTTATTGTTATTCTTGAATATAAAAAGTAGCAATAAATGAAAATTAGAGTTATTTTATTATCATTTGAGAGTTCTTCAAGATTAATGTATGGCATTAAAATTTTAGCTTTTTAATTTAAAAGATGTATAAAAAAAATTTAATGGCAAATATTAATCTTAACAAATATATAAAAATGCAATATTCTAAAATATCTAAATATTTTTTTTATTCATAAGTTTATATCATAAACATTGCCATTTTCAAGGCTATCTATATTTGTAAAAATTCAAAATATATGAAGAATCTTAGTGTATAAAATATTTTATTTTCTAGTTTTTAGACAATTTGCACAAATTAATTTGTGCAAATTGTCTAAAAACTTAATTTTAATTAATTTACACAAAAACGTTTTTTATTTATTATAAAGAACTCATTTCTAGGTATCTTTTATATGTTATTAAACATTTGGACACAGAATATTGTCCTGATAGCTTTATGTAGATGTTTGTTATACTTTGTAATAGTATTATAACAGTGGACTTGTTACTGTGAATGACCAATATCTGGTGAATGTCAGCATTCACAGTCATTTTGTCTATGTACGAAATATTTGCTAAATATCATTATTTCTCACTTACATCGGCAAATGTTGACATTCAACATGCACTGTTGGTGAATGTTGAATAAAATTATTTTTATTACGTTAAGACAAAAATGCAACTTTTTAATATATTGAAATAGGAGAAAGCTTAATTAATTAAGTAACAGCACATGTAAATAAACTGTTGAACCTAAAACAAACAGTACATTCTAAATCATTAAAAAAAATAATACAATAATAAACTTACACATAAATTATGTGATTAACGTTATACAATCTTATTTATTGCAACAACTTAAATTGTTATGGCACTTTGAATTGCACAAGAGTTCCTTGCTTTCACAACTGCATTTATTCATGAAACACTTTTTTTTTGCAATGACAGAGTGTATAGCGTTGCCCTCCATGTTTTGAATTAGCTGCAGCTGCTTCTCTCAGAGATATTTCTTGAGAAGAAATATCTCATCTATGGAAAGTACCTTTTCTTTACAAATTACAAACTGATTATGTTGTTACATGATTACAAACTGATCTGTTAACCTATCCGATGTTGAAACTTTTATCTTTGACTGTGACGCCATGTTGAATTTTCGTTGATGTTAAGCCTTAAAAAAATTTTTTTTTTAATAATAATCGTGTTTACTGTGTTGTTAAAAATTATTTTTTATGTTGCACATACAAAATAAATATATTGAAAAATATAGAAACAAAAAAAATTATATTTCAAAAGTTTGTTTTAATATAAAAGTTGTGATGCATAGCAACATCTAGTATCAAAAACGTTCCAATGTTGACAAAAAAGTATTCGGTATCGCCCACGCAGGTCAATGAGGTCAACACGAATATTTTTAGGAACAATGCAGGACAGGTTAATGGTGTCTTTTATTTGAATATCGTCCAACGCCTTACCGACGACCCCTCTTATCCTCTGCCACTCAACCTGACAAACCGATCCCCACCTGACGGGATCAAAAGAACAAAAACACCATCCAGTGACAAAGTGGGCAGTTTTCACCAAAGTTTTCACAGTTTTCAAGGCCCGTTGCCTTGTAAAGAGATACGACCTTGTCGTATCTCCGGCTACTCACAAAGGATTTGGCGACAGACTGTCGCCTCTCTGTCGACATCAGCTTCTCAGATGTCATTTCGATCTCCACCAAGCTTATCTGTGCTTGTTGACATACACCTGTGATTGTTCAAGTGTATAATAATATAACCAAATACAGTAAAACCTGTCTATGGCGACCACCCACAGTTCCTTCAAAAAATGGTCTTTTAGACAGGTGGTCGTCCAATACAGGTGGTGTTGTAATACCTTATTTCCGTATGTATTTTGCGCACTTTTTAGCCATTTCTACTACGCAAAACTCGAGGTGAGCAAAAATAAGCAAATTTTTTCAACGATAGGGCTATATTGGTATTGCATTTTATTCTTATCGGATAACCCGATTTACAGGAGTCGTCATGATATTATAAGACAGATTTAATACAATATTTTAAAGATTAATACAATAGTCGCATTTTCTCGATTATAATGCACACTTTCTTTTTTCTGGCTTAATTAATTCGACTCTGTTTTCGTTCGCTCCTCAGTTACATGCATTACGTCATCGATATATAAGCGCGTTGTATTTCTACAACACTTTGGTTATGGTATTCGCTAGTTTAATCTTATTTTAACTTTAAAAATACTGTATTTTTAATATTTAATATTTTCTTAAGTACAGTACAATAAGAAAAATTATTAATTAATAATAAAATGATTTTATTATTTTTTCTCGTTGTACGATTTCATTACAATCGCGGAATCGAAAAAGGAAGTAAAACTGATTTTTGCATTAATGCGTTTATTGTTTTTTGAATATTTTGCCTGCGAAAATTACTTGGATATTATTTTTCTAAAAATATCGTGGAAATAAGATAGGTTGATACAGAAACTATTTATCACACGTGTACTGTATATGAGCTTCAAAATAAATAAATAGATAAGTAAATAAAAATAAATTTTATCAAACGATGAGATCAGCCGATTAATTGTATCGTGTACAATATTTTATACCCCCCAAGGAAAATACTGTAGGTCTACGGTAAAATAAATTTCGTTTTCTACAGTTAAACTTCGCCGCTAATTGCTGTTGTGATAACTTTAATACGATCTTCTAACGACAGCACTTTGCATTTCTTTCGTTTTTTTGGACATTTTCCAACAAACCGAAATGAATTTCCTTTGTTGCTAGACTAATTTATTAACACCTGCACCTAATTTCAAGGGTAGGAAAAGTGCCCGGGATGGGTTCGAACGAGAGTTTAGACTAATTCATTATATTAGGAAGTGGAAACGTTGTTGAGATGGGTTATTACAATAGTTTAGACCAGATATATTCGCCAAAGTGGTCGCTTATTACAGGTGTTGTATGTTGTTTCGGACCAAAAATCGATGCCCACGGTCGCGTTACACAGGTGGTCGTTTAATACAGGTAACTTATACGAAGACTCTATGGATAAACTATTCCATGCCGGAAATTTTCGCCCGTTTTGACAGGTGCCCGTCGAATGCAGGTGGTTGCCTAAGCAGTTTTTACTGTATTTGGTCTTTCACCAATGTATTTTGTATGTGTCAACATTCTCTAATTTCGATCTTTCACAGTAACAGACTTAGCTATTTTGTTCAGATCAAACATTTAAGTCTAGGCAAATTGGCTTATAGAACAAAACTTTTGGAGATACTAAACACTGAAAGTACTATGGTAAAAAAATAACATTATGGGTGAACAATTTTAATTTCTAACAAAACTAAAATTAAATTATTTTCAAATTTTAAAAAATGAATTAATTTTTGAGACAAGTTTTGATGCACCAATATTATTGGAACACTTATTGCTAAATTGGTCATATCACTGCAATCTTTTGAAACAATATAGATGAAAAGAATAACAGACAGACAAATATTGAATAGCAGTTGAACTCAACATAGCTTTGGATATTCCAAAGTTTTATGTGAAAAGATATTGTAATTCAGATATATAATAGAATATTAAGATATCATATTTGTTTATATTTCTCTTATTTATTGCAACAACTTAAATTGTTATGGCACTTTGAATTACACAACAGTCCCTTGCTTTTACAACTACATTTATTCGCGGAACACTTCTTTTTGCAATGACAGCGTGTATAGCCTTGCCTTTCACTTTTCGAATTAGCTGCAGCTGCTTCTCTCAGCGATATTTCTTGAGAAGAAATCTCATCTATGGAAAGTAACTTTTCTTTACAAATTACGAACTGATTATGGGTATAAAGCTGCTTGAGGGTACCATTTTTGTTTGCTAATTTATAAAAGTCAGAATCTTCTATTCCAACAACAACCGCCAACACATTTTTGGCATCTGTACGGCCATGGTCAACATCAGGGACTTGTATTTGTACGGTATCACCAATTTGAGCAGAAGGAAACAGTGAAGAATTTGGTGACAGACTGTCGCCTCTCTGTCGACATCGGCTTCTGGGATGTCGTTTCGACCTCCACCAAAGCTTATCTGTGCTTGTCGACATACACCGGCAATTGTTCGAATGTATAATAATATAACCAAATATTTGGTCTTTCACCAACCTATTTTGTATGTGTCGACATTCTCTAATTTCGGTCTTTCACAGTTATATATTATATACATATATATGTCAGTTACTTAGAAGATGATGATGATAATAATAATAATAATGAGAATTAGAATCAAATTTAGATCCATATTATTTACCT